CAAAGAGCAAATGTGCAATTAATAGTTACTCTTTTGGAATTCCATTGTGTCGTTATCTCCCCTAGTGGGCCATGCAAAACCCTTACTCTGAATAATGTTTTTTTATGGGGTAGGGGGAACTATGGAACCAAGGGAGCTAGCACCCCCCAAAAGTTTGTAGGCTGAAACCTCCTTGTCTGGGGAACCTACAGGACTACCAAGGAAGGGGCTAGTTGGCTCCTTTTGCAACCTGCCTTTGAATTTTCTCCTTCAAGGTCACGTCTCAGGTTCCTTTGCCTCCCCATCTTTTAAACCCGGCTTCTCATCACCATTTTTAATGATAGGAATATTGCATCGGCGTGACTTATAAGTGCTATTCTAAGGGATGGCGAGTCGATATATTTGTTTTCTTGTTTGATATACGGCGGCGAGAGGAAGCCATGGATGAAGTTTATTAAACCTGCCTAATTTTCTATCAGTTCTGAGGACTATCGATCCTGTCCATAGAAGTTATCAGGCTCAGGCGCAAGCATAGGTTAAAACAAAATCATTTAAACGCGGAGGTGGGGGGTGGGGAGGGGGGGAGAGAAAGTGATTCTGTAGGGAAGCAACAGAAGGGGAATATAAAGGACCTTATTTGAATGCGCAGGAAACTATCTTGGATCAATGGGCCAAAGAATGGATATTTTGGGGGTGGGGGTGGGGGGGAGGGGAGGGAGGAAGAAGAGATGTTAGAAAGCAAGAGACAACAAACAGATGAGGCTTTGGAGCCAGTGTGATGGGGGGTGGTACAGATTGTTCATTGAGAATCCTGCCCCCCCTGCCATCTCTTGTTCATTTGTGGGATCAATAGGAAGTGGGGGTGTGAAACCACTTCTAGATTAAGACACACCCCCCAACCCAGCACAATTGCCCTCTCTCTCCCAGCATTCAGTGTGAGATGAGCTGGTCTCCCAGGGTGAGATTAGCTGGTCGCCATAGGCGAGTAGGGATTTATTTGTTTTTGTCATCTCTTGTGATTGGCTGGCTGGGATTTTTTTCCTCATCTATCCCCACACTGCAGCGCTGCGTGGGTGCGGTTAGGGGCAGGGGTCTTCGAAAATAGGTTGATTGGTTGATTGGTTGATTGGTTGATTGGTTGATTGGTTGATTGGTTGATTGGTTGATTGGTCTCTTGGCAGAGGGGGGTGAGTATCCTGCTTACTTTTCAGGTGAACAGTGATTCTTCGGCTTACTATCAGAAAGTCCTTCCTGGTGTTCTGTTGGAAACTCTTTCCTTTGCCTTTGAATCCATGGCTTCAAACAGTAAGAGCTATTTTGTGGTGGAACGGACTCCCTCCACAGGTGAAAAGGGTCATGCAACCCAACAAGGCAGCTGTTTAGAACGAAATTAACATATCCTCATGCTCCTTTTATGCTTTTTACATAATTTTTTCCCTGCATCTCTGTAGCATAATCTTATGTTGTAGGTCCCCTTGACTCCTATCTTAATTTGTGAAAAATAAAGTATTTCCTCCAGAGGTGGTGGACGCTGCCTTCCTTGGATGCTTGTAAGCAGAGGTTCAGAGGTCACCTAGTTAGGGTTGCTTTCGCTGGGATTCCTGCATTGCGGGGGGTTGGACTAGATGACCCGTGGGGTCCCTCCAAAATCCCACTCATTCTCAAACCTTTATTGGCCTATATAGAATCATAGAATCCTAGAGTTGGAAGAGACCACAAGGGCCATCGAGTCCAACCCCCTGCCAAGCAGGAAACACCATCAGAGCACTCCTGACATATGGTTGTCAAGCCTCTGCTTAAAGACCTCCAAAGAAGGAGACTCCACCACACTCCTTGGCAGCAAATTCCACTGTCGAACAGCTCTTACTGTCAGGAAGTTCTTCCTAATGTTTAGGTGGAATCTTCTTCTTGTAGTTTGGATCCATTGCTCCGTGTCCGCTTCTCTGGGCAGCAGAAAACAACCTTTCTCCCTCCTCTATGTGACATCCTTTTCTATATTTGAACATGGCTATCATATCACCCCTTAACCTCCTCTTCTCCAGGCTAAACATGCCCAGCTCCCTTAGCCGTTCCTCATAAGGCATCGTTTCCAGGCCTTTGACCATTTTGGTTGCCCTCCTCTGGACACGTTCCAGTTTGTCAGTGTCCTTCTTGAACTGCGGTGCCCAGAACTGGACACAGTACTCCAGGTGAGGTCTGACCAGAGCAGAATACAGTGGCACTATTACTTCCCTTGATCTAGATGCAAGATTCCAGTAGGGTTCTGTGCAATAAATTCACTCAGAAGAAGAAGAAGAGTTTGGATTTGATATCCTGCTTTATCACTACCCTAAGGAGTCGCAAAGGGATGTGGGTGGCACTGTGGTCTAAACCACAGAGCCTCTTGGGCTTGCCGATCGGAAGGTCGGCGGTTCGAATCCCCGCAATGACGGGGTGAGCTCCCATTGTTCGGTCCCAGCTCCTGCCAACCTAGCAGTTCGAAAGCATGTCAAAGTGCAAGTAGATAAATAGGTACCGCTCTGGCGGGAAGGTGAACGGCGTTTCTGTGCGCTGCTCTGGTTCGCCAGAAGCGGCTTAGTCATGCTGGCCACATAACCCGGAAGCTGTACGCCTGCTCCCTGGGCCAATAAAACGAGATGAGCGCCGCAACCCCAGAGTCGGTCACGACTGGACCTAATGGTCAGGGGTCCCTTTACCTTTAAGGAGTCACAAAGCAGCTAACAATCTCCTTTCCCTTCCTCTCCCACAACAAACACTCTGTGAGATGAGTGAGGCTGAGAGACTTCAGAGAAGTGTGACTAGCCCAAGGTCACCCAGCAGCTGCACGTCGAGGAGTGGAGACGCAAACCTGGTTCACCAGATTACGAGTCCATCGCTCTTAACCACCGCACCACGCTGGCTCTCAGGGAAAACTCTGCACCTGACAGTTAAGTTAATATTGCGTAGCATTCACAGTTCCTCATTCTGTGATGGCCTGGGATTCGGACTGGGATGCTGAACCCGAGGGATCCCAGCCTGCACAGGATTCCCCGCCTCCGGAACCAGCTGAGCCGGGGCTGGGGCATGAGCCTGAAGGGTCCTCACCTGTGCTGGATCCTCAGGTGCAGGCACAAGCTGAGTCTGCTCTGGCTCCTGAGGGGATGGAGGACCCACTGCCTGCAGGTGCTCCACTCTCAGCCCCGTCAGAGGAAGATGAGGTTGCCTCTGGGTCCGGTAACCCTCCAGCCTCTCCTGAGCTGCAGAGGCTCAGGGCAGAGAGGCTGGAGGGAACCCTGCAGGAGGAGTGCTCGCCTCCAGGCCAGGAGAGGCAAGTCACCTGTGGACCAGGACTGCCCTATGCCTCGGGGCAGATAAAAGCCAGCCAGCCCCAGTCCCAAGTTGCAGGAGCAACATTGTTGGTTGCTAGTTCCTGCCTGAACCCTGTCCTGCTTTCCTGCCTGAGCTCCTGACCCGCCCTGGCTCCCTGCTTGCAAGCCTGTTCCTGACTTCACCCGACTCCAAGCCCTGCATCCAGCTTCAGCTACTACAGACTGCCTCTACATTGCACCTTTGACCATGGACCAGACTTGGACCTCGCCTCTCAGGTGACCCACGGGACCAGCACACATTGTGTGTTGTGGAAACCTGGCTGCTAAAGCCCGTCCTGTGAAAAGATAAGGATGGCAGGGGGTTGGACTAGATGACCCTCTGACTCCCTTCCAACTCTAAAAAATACAGTGGTACCTCGGGTTAAGTACCTAATTCGTTCCAGAGGTCCGTTCTTAACCTGAAACTGTTCTTAATCTGAAGCACCACTTTAGCCTAGGGGCATTGCTGTCAACTTACAGATTTGAAAATAAGGGACCAGCAGCCTCGAAAATAAGGGATCAGCAGGTATGTTCAACTTCTGAGCCCCTCCGAGCCAAAGGCAGAAAGCCCAGCCAGCAGCCAAACGAAGCCTCAAGCGGTGGTTCCCACAGCGCAGCAACCCGGCAAAGGGGATGCAGCAAGGAAAACCACCGTCACCTCTCCGCTGGGAAGCGCTGAGCAAAGGCGAGTCCCCAGGCAACGCGGCCGATTTGATCGGCACAAGGCATGCAAGCTCCACCCCCCAGTCATTCTTAGACTCCTTATTGGGTGAGCAACGCAGCCAAGCAACACAGTTGGAGCCTCCCTCCTCCCTGGCCGGCAGGGAGGGAGGGAGAGGAGCTGCTTCCTTTGAAACCCGGGAAATTTAAGGGACATCATCAATAAGGGACAGCAGCGGGACACAGCGCTGGGATAAGGGACTGTCCCGCCAAATAAGGGACAGTTGACAGCTATGCCTATGGGGCCTCCTGCTGCTGCCGCGCCGCCGGAGCACGATTTCTGTTCTCATCCTGAAGCAAAGTTCTTAACCTGAAGCACTATTTCTCGGTTAGCGGAGTCTGTAATCTGAAGCGTATGTAACCCGAGGTACCACTGTATCTGTCATTTTACTTCATTGGTGCATTCCTCCCCCCTCCCCACGATGCCCACAAACAGGACATGAGTTCAGCAGCATTCTGCTCCTGCCATCTGGTATTCAATGATGTGTGTTCAGAGAAAGGTTGCCTCTGATCCTGGAGGCAGCCAATAGCTGTCACAACTAGCATCCACCGATAGCCTTATCGTCCTCCGTGAATTTATCTAATCCTGCTTTGAAGCCATCCAAGTGGGCTCTCCTAATTCTGTACGTGCTGGGTGAAGAAGAATTGTATTTTATCTGTCCCGAAACCTTTCAGCATTCAGCTGCGTTGGGTGTTAAGGGCTCCTGACGTTAAGAGGAAGGAAAACTTCTTCCTATTCAATTTCTCCAACCACCGCTTACTCACTTAGAAAAAATAAAATCTAAAGCTAAAAAGCCCCCAATGATCATATCATGGGACTACAGACTTGGGTCTCCCATCTCTTTTTTGGACCACAACTCCCATCATCCCTAGGTCAGGGATGATGGGATTTGTAGTCCAAAAACAGCTGGAGACCCAAGATCTATTCCTACCCCCTTCGTTGCAGGAATATTTTGCCCAACATGGGGTTCAAACCCCCAAGGCCCTGAGATTAAGAGTCTCATACTCTACCAACTGAGTTATCCCTTACCTTTCCCTGTAGGGTTATTGTTGTAATGCACAGTTATTGACTCACGTGTGCATGCATGAAAGGGTTAACCTGAGCCATAAGCCCAAGTTGTCATGGTAGGTATGGCTTAGCAGGCTCTCAGCAGGCTCTGCCCCACCTCTCCCCCCCCCTTCTCTTTTTGTGCTTCCTGGAACAAGCAAGGAGCCATGAGGCAATGGCTCCCAGCTTCAAGAAAAACCAAGTGAACTGGTACTCTCCCAAAGGGAGTTTTTGCAGCCTGTATCTTTGCCAACCCAAAGATTGCCTGATCCTTTTCGTAAAGAAACAAAGTACTTTTCTTTGTAAGTTGTTTGGAACCTTTTCTTTTCTTTTTTTTAAGGCCAACCAACAGAGACTTGTTCGCTGTTATTTCTGAAACTCTGTGAGAAAAGCGTTCACTTATTTGCAAAGTGAAGTGTCTGTGATTGAATCTAGCATAGGTATTTTCGTGGGGAGCATTTGTTTAAAGGTGGGTGCGGACAGATGTAAATCTATCCAAGTTTAAATGTGCTGGGAGCAATTGCCAATGTGCTTAACTCTGTAATTGGAGAGTGGAAATCTCTCTTCCAGACCTCTCCATCAGTGGTTACTCCAACTCACGGATCGTTTTGGCTACCCTTTTCCCAACTCTACCATATCCTTTTTGAGGCAAGGCAACTAGAATGATAGAAGAACATCAGTTAATTCTTACAATTCTCTGTGATCGAGAGAGAGAGAGAGAGAGAGAGAGAGAGAGAGAGAGAGAGAGAGATGCGCCAAAGTATAAGAATGGGAAGATTGTAGGATGATGGAACAATTTGCGGGGAGGCTGATGGGAGATTTCCAAAATGACTATGTTTTGTGGGACTGATGAGAGATGTGGTCCAAAATGACTATGTTTTGTGAGGTTAGTGGGAAGTGATCTGGAGGACACCAGGTTGACAAAGAGCCATTCAGAGAATGGGGAGAAGTGAAGGAGAAGAAGCCAAAGAAGATCTCATTTGTGGACAATGTATTAATTTTGCAAGTTCGCCGAATAAAGTGCCTTGAGGAACATCTGTCTAGCTGCATGCTGGCTTCCGAACCCCAAAGTCATTACAAGCAGCAGAGGACATACAAGGCCACCACCCAGATGACCAGGGTGAGGCCAAGCAGGAGGTAATGGATGCCGTTGAACAAGCGGCAGCGCGTCGGCAGGCAAGGGAATGTCTGCTTCAGGAGGCCTTGCCTAGACCTTTGAGGATGTGATTGGCAGTTGGGCTCAGCATCCCAGCAGGACAGCCAATGGCATTCAGGGACAAGGATGATGTAAGCGGTTTGGTCATAATGGAAGATCCTCCTGAGCTGGGTGGAAGCCGACTCGCTGATGAACAAGGAAGGGATGCTGACCGACTCCTTCACGGCCTCGTTCTCACCCAACATGGTCACCAGAGCCTGCGAGTCAACGTTGTGCACGATGGCGGCGTGGTACCCGGCTTGCTGGGCGTGAAGGACCTTAGTGGTGAAGGGGCAGTCGTACCTCTGGATGAGGGCGATGAAGGCAGTGGAGGAGCTGTTGGCCGGCGGCGGGGTGTCGATGGGTTGGCAGGCGTTGGCTGGCTTGGCTTCCACAAGGTGACCCAGAAGACCTTCGCGGTGGAGAGAAGGTCCAAAATGGGAAGGCAGGGCATCAAAATCTTGGCTGATGCCATTGTGGTTGTACACTGCGCGGATTAAGGCATCATTGGAAGGGATGCAGAGGAGCAGGACAGAGATCCCTGCGACCAGATGAACAGGAGGTGAAAGAGATATTAGGTGCATTCTTGCATAGATCATAGGTGGGTCTGTCTAAAGGTCTTTTCTGGGCAGTGGGAGTATCAATGTGGTAGTTCCTACTGGATCATCCATGAAACCAGACCGCGGCCAGGCAAGTGGAACAGGCCAAGCTCTTGGTGTTGAATCACAGGTGGCTGGTCTTCCCCCAGAGCACCAGGGCTGCCTGATGAGTAAAGCCTTCCCAGGACATTTGCCCAGAGGTCTTTGTGACCTCATGACCTCAGCCACCTACCTCAATCCACCTAGGAAATGTATTAGATATGTCCTCCATTGTAGCCAGGGATCTGCGCAACCCAGGGGCCCCACGAGCGCACATGGCCTTCAGCCCGATTTCAAAAGCCGTTCTGCACGTGGTCAGTTCAGACTTCTGGCAAGGGCGGCCCGCTCTTCTTGTGGTGTTAAGAGGGAGTGTTAATTGTTTCATTGCGAACTGAATGCCTGTATGTGTATTGCTAAAGGGAAACTGGAAAATTCCACTGAAGCTCTAACAGGTTAATAATTAACAGCCGATGTTCTCGGCTAGCTCTCCCGTAGTGTTTTGCTTTAGATCATGTGATTCAGGTATTCAGTAGCAAATCTCCATCTCGAAGGGAGTTGCCTGTTAGTTTTTCTCTGGAAGCCGCAGAGAACAAAAAATGAGATACGGATGCCTTAGGTTGGATGCAGGTGATTGCAGGCTATGGGAGAGAGAGAGCACTGATTTCAGCTCTGACCGTAATAATAATAATAATAATAATAATAATAATAATAATAACAACAACAACAACAACAATAGGCTATATTTTAATGTTTTAATGTTGTATTTTAATCAACTTGTTTTTTTTATTGGTTGTTAGCTGCCCTGAGCCCAGTCTTGGCTAGGGAGGGTGGGGTATAAATTATTATTATTATTATTATTATTATTATTACTCTGCCCATTTAAGAAGACGGACCTATGCTTGAATATGCATATGCTTTTATGCCAGTGGATTTCAACCACTGTGCCGTGGCACCCTGGGGTGCCTTGAATGGTGGTCAGGGGTGGACTCTGACCCTCTTCCCTTCCCTCCCTCCTCTGATGCCCTCTTGCATCTCTGATTCCCAAAGGCTTGCATGAGTGCTTGTTGCAGCAGCCCTGGCTACAAGCCCCGCAGGCGAATGGTGCCTCTGGGGCTGGCCAGGGGCTGCTGGGTGCCAGGGGCCGAGGCAAGCAAGCGGGCGAGGGAGCCCAGCCAGCCTGTCTACAAGCCCTTGCTGTTGGGAATGGAAGCCCAATGGGCGAGACAAGGGTGTATCATTAGCTGCCTTGTTGTTGCTAAGTAGTTCTGTTTGTGACACTCTCAAGACATAGGACTATGCAGAAGGCAAGTTTGTTTGTTACACTTTTAAGACATAGGGAGATGCAGAAGGAAGATGGCGTTGTCAACAGAAACTGGCATTGAAATGGCATTGCCAACAGGAACTATACATTGTAATTGTTGGACTTGACTATCCTTAGAATAGAATCATAGAATCATAGAGTTGGAAGAGACCACAAGGGCCATCGCGTCCAACCCCCTGCCAAGCAGGAAACACCATCAGAGCACTCCTGACATATGGTTGTCAAGCCTCTGCTTAAAGACCTCCAAAGAAGGAGACTCCACCACACTCCTTGGCAGCAAATTCCACTGTCCAACAGCTCTTACTGTCAGGAAGTTCTTCCTAATGTTTAGGTGGAATCTTCTTTCTTGTAGTTTGGATCCATTGCTCCGTGTCCGCTTCTCTGGAGCAGCAGAAAACAACCTTTCTCCCTCCTCTATGTGACATCCTTTTATATATTTGAACATGGCTATCATATCACCCCTTAACCTCCTCTTCTCCAGGCTAAACATGCCCAGCTCCCTTAGCCGTTCCTCATAAGGCATCGTTTCCAGGCCTTTGACCATTTTGGTTGCCCTCCTCTGGACATGTTCCAGTTTGTCAGTGTCCTTCTTGAACTGTGGTGCCCAGAACTGGACACAGTACTCCAGGTGAGGTCTGACCAGAGCAGAATACAGTGGCACTATTACTTCCCTTGATCTAGATGCTATACTCCTATTGATGCAGCCCAGAATTGCATTGGCTTTTTCCTTGGACTTTATGACAATAAAAACATATAGAAGGTTAATAGTAATAGGATATGTTATTGCCACCAGGAACTGTGCTTTGCAATTTTTTGATATGACAATTACAGTTTTATTATATATAATGTTATGTTACTTTACGGGGATGCAGGTGGTGCTGTGGTCTAAACCACAGAGCCTAGGGCTTGCTGATCAGAAGGTTGGCGGTTCGAATCCCCGTGACAGGGTGAGCTACCATTGCTCGGTCCCTGCTCCTGCCAACCTAGCAGTTCAAAAGCACGTCAAAATGCAATTAGATAAATAGGTACTGCTCTGGCGGGAAGGTAAATGGCGTTTCCGTGCACTGCTCTGGTTCGCCAGAAGCGGCTTAGTCATGCTGGCCACATGACCCAGAAGCTGTACGCCGGCTCCCTCGGCCAGTAAAGCGAGATGAGCGCCGCAACCCCAGAGTCGGCCACGACTGGACCTAACGGTCAGGGGTCCCTTTACCTTTACCTCCCCTTGTGGCAGATATTAATGTTGCGCAGCTTGAAGCAATTGGGTACACAAAAGCTACAATAAAAGGAAACCCATTAGCTTTACTAATCAGAAATTCTTCAAAGCAAGTACAAAACAATCCATGATACACCCAGAGAATTGCATAAAGCAGAGGGTTTCAACCTTTTCCAATTCTAGGATTGCCCTGGCCCGAGTGGTCCTTTGCTCATTGATTCCCAGAAAACATCTCTCCAGCAGCTGCTGACATTACGTCCAACTGAGGGGATCATTTCCATTCTCCATGCTTGGCAAAGTTGTCTCTTTCCTCCGTGCCTTTTATGCAACCACTTCCTGGCAGGCCCCTTCACAAATCGTGATGTCATGGGAGCACATTTTTGGGAGAATGAAAGGCGCTTCTGTCACAGACCTGATCCACGGACCGACACACACACCCCGCTCCCCACTGACAGCGCAACCAGGGGGAAATGCATTTGGAGGTACGAGCTTTTGGATTTGTTCAGACCCCCCCCCATTCCAATACACTGGAGAGAATCTTTGCACGTAATCCTAAAAGCACATTTAAAGCCTCTTCCGTGCTGATGTGTCTGTCAATGTGCCTATCAACGTGGGAGGACAGGAAGCAGAAGGATATCATTATAATTTCTCAAGTTTCCCTACAGATCTGTCAGCAGGGGTATTTATTTGTACACAGCTATTCTTTGGGGAGCGCGGAAAAGTTACGGGATGCGGAAGTGGCTGCGGTATTCAGCAGCTTTCATTTTATAAAAATAAAAATAAAACCGCACGCATCAGGTTTCTAGTCCTTGTGATTGCAGACCCAAAAACAGCTCTTCTCAGAAAGAAGACCCATTGAAAATGGTTCAGGTGATGCCTGAGGCAAAGGATCCAGTGCAGACTGAGTCTCCACTGGTTCCGAGTCCAAGCCCGAGTCCCAGGCCACCACACTTGAAACCATTTGTTCAGGTTCTACCTTCCAGAGCAGGAGAAAACAAGCTTGCTCCATCTTCCATGTGGCAACCCTTCAGATATTTGAAGATGGCTCTCATATCTCCTTTCTGTCTCCTTTTTTCCAGGCTAAACACACAAGGTTCCCTCCAGGTAGATGTACTGTGTGTGGCTCATCTGGAGATACACCTGGCCTGTAGCAGAAACTCCTTCCACCTTTCTGGGTGTGGCTCCTTCCATAGCTGAGTGGGAACTAGTCGTTTTCCCTTTGCTCCAGAGGCCAGGCCCAAACCAGTGGATTCCTATGACGGAAAAGGAGAGTCCAGCTAAATTTAGGAAGAACTTTCTGATGGCAAGAGCTCTTTGACAGTGGAACGGACTCTCTCAGAAGGTGGTGGACTCTCCTTCCTTGGAGCTCTTTAAGGAGAGGTGAGATGGTCACCTGTCCTGGATCCTTTAGTTGAGATTCCGGCATTGCAAAGGGGTTGGACTAGATCAGGCTTCCTCAGCCTCGGCCCTCCAGATATTTTGAGACTACAATTCCCATCATCCCTGACCACTGGTCCTGCTAGCTATGGATCATGGGAGTTGTAGTCCAAAAACATCTGGAGGGCCTAGGTTGAGGAAGCCTGCACTAGATGATCCAACTCTACAAGCCCTATACGGCCTAGGACCCTTGTACCTACAGGACCGCCTCTCCTGGTATGTCCCATGGAGGACCTTACAGTCTTCAAATAAAAACATCTTGGAGGTCCCGGGCCACAGGGAGGTTAGGCTGGCCTCAACCAGAGCCAGGGCTTTTTCGGCCGTGGCCCCGATCTGGTGGAACACTCTGTCACAAGAGACTAGGGCCCTGCAGGACTTGACATCTTTCCGCAGGGCCTGCAAGACAGAGCTGTTCCACCAGGCCTTTGGCCAAGGCACAGTCTGACCCCCTCCTTTGTTGATCCTCTTAGAACTCTGGCCCAGTGGTTGCCATTTGATTTTGAATTGATTTTATAATATTGTTTTTAGAATGCTTTGTTACTGTCAGGGAACTGCCATCAGTGCCAGAGGGAGAGAGCAAAATCCAGAGGGATTCCAGAGAGCGTCCCGGGATTGGGAGAGGCAGCCCATCTTCTGGGGAAGAGAATCAGCGTAGCCACAGTGGAGAAGGGGGGCAGATGGGGGAAGCGGCGAGGCGGTCCCATGACTCCTTGCCGGGGACCAGCGGGGACAGTAAGGGTCCTCCTCTGCCTACGCCCTCCTTGCGCAGAAGGCTTCCGCGCAGGGAGAGTAGGAGGAGACTAGGCGTCAAAGAGCTTCTTTGCTGGAAGTAGTTTAAGAAACGCCCACTGACGGATTCTGCCAGGGATTGAGACAGCCATGGGTGAGTGGCTGTCCGGACAGAAAAGGTTCACTCAGGCAATCCAGCCAGGTGTTTGCACCGCCTTACGCACGAGCAACCCCTAGAACCATTACAGTTACTTTTATTGCTGTTAGCCGCTCTGAGCCCGGCTCTGGCTGGGGAGGGCGGGATATAAATAATTTTTTATTATTATTAAGCCTAAGATTCTAGTCTTGCCTTTTGTAGCAAGATGCACTCTGCTGAGTTGCTGTTCTGTTATTCTGTTATTCGGGAATAAATACAATTCTCAAAGCTCCTCCAACTCCTGCTGCTTCCCAGCACTGGGCCAGACCCATTGCCAGGTTTCCTCGCGCAGTGAGGACCCTTCCCCAACTCTCAGGATTTGCTGCAGACGTAGTTTCTGGCCCACGCTGCCCACATCCCTCTCCCCGTTATTTGCCTCCCACCTCTCTTGCTTTGCCAACCCTCCGGGGATTACGAGGCGAGGGATTGAGTTGAGACTAATCCAACTCTTCAGTGTGCAAGGATGGGATAAGGAGCCGGAGCCAGTGGCCTGTGAGGAGAAACTTGGCCGAGGCTGCTGCCAGTCCTGTCCTGTTTCAAACGGCAAGTTTTGCATATATGCAGAAGACGTGGTCGTCTTGGGAAGAGAATAAGCGAGGCTGCTGCGTTTGGTACCTTGGGCTCACCCTTTTTTTAAAAAAAATAAATAAATCATTTTTATTGATTTTCCAATAAAAAACTTCCAATTAAATATCCAATCATAATACTCCAATTAGAAAACTAAAAAATAAATAAATTTTAGTCCAAATTGTATTTTTTTATTTTTTTATTTTATAAGATATTTATTAAGGTTTTTTGAAATATTACAGTAAAAATAAAAAAGAAAAGAGAAAAATACAAAATAAAAACAGTTAAAAACACACATATTTTCAGTTACTTATTTTCCTTTAGCTTGTTTCCCGGACCTCCTCGTACCTCCCTTTTTTGTATTCCACTTCAATTTATTGGTTCAGCAAATCCTTACCATTAGATTTTAACCCATTTATAACCCTTTTTCATATTCTCTTAAAGCATTACAGCTAGAAACCGCTTAATTACTATCCAACATCATTCTATCATTCATTAATTTTACAATATTTCTGTAAATAGTCTTTAAATTTCTTCCAATCTTCTTCCACCGACTCTTCTCCCTGGTCTCGGATTCTGCCAGTCATTTCTGCCAATTCCATATAGTCCATCACCTTCATCTGCCATTCTTCCAAAGTGGGTAGATCTTGTGTCTTCCAATACTTTGCAATGAGTATTCTTGCTGCTGCTGTAGCATACATAAAAAAAGTTCTGTCCTTCTTTGGCACCAACAAATTGTATTTATTAATGTCTTGGGGCTCCCCACAGTCTGGATCTCTGGAGCATATCTCCACATCTTAGTCCTGTTGTTGTTTCCATATTTTCCACATCTTGATATTAACGCTTGGCAATTTTTTGTCCCTGGTTCCGGGATTCTCATTCATGTCAAACACCATATGCTTTCATCCGCCTTTGTTAATATATATTTTTTCCAACTGCCTTTGTATCAGCTCAGCTTCGGGGCTCATCCTTTTTTGAAAATAAAATAAAAATATGTCGATGGGATGTATCTAAATTCTACTCAGAATAGGTCCGTTGAAATTAGAATCATAGAATCATGGGATTGTTGAGCTGAAAGGGACCTGAGGGTCATCTAGTCCAACCCCCTGAAATGCAGGAATGACAGATGTCCATCCAACCTCTGCTTAGAACCCTTCAAGGAAGGAGAGGCCCAAACTTTCTTCTGAGGGAGTCCCTTCCGCTGTGGAACAGCTCTTACTGCCAGAAGGTTCTTGGAAGATAGCTCTCATTTCACCTCTCAGTCTTCACTTCTCCATAACATAGCATGCTATGGCCTAAGAGAAAATTATATGGAAATGATATATCGATGGTAATTAACACCGAGTAAATTGGGGACGTGGGTGGCACTGTGGGTTAAACCACAGAGCCTAGGACTTGCCGATCAGAAGGTCGGCGGTTCGAATCCCCACGACGGAGTGAGCTCCCGTTGCTCGGTCCCAGCTCCTGCCAACCTAGCAGAAAGGACGTCAAAGTGCAAGTAGATAAATAGGTACCGCTCCAGCGGGAAGGTAAACGGTGTTTCCGTGCACTGCTCTGGTTCGCCAGAAGCGACTTAGTCATGTTGGCCACATGACCCGGAAGCTGTATGCCGGCTCCCTCGGCTAATAAAGCAAGATGAGCGCCGCAACCCCAGAGTCGGCCACGACTGGACATAACGGTCAGGGGTCCCTTTACCTTTTACCTTAAATTGGCAAAAATGCATAAATCCAAATCAAATAAGTGTTGGAAATGTAAAGAGAAAGAAGGTTCCTTTAAAAAAAAATTTTTTAAAAATCTTTATTAATTTACAATCTCATACTACAAAGAATTTAGAATCTCATACTACAAAAAGAAAATTAAAGAAAAAAGAATTAAGAAAAGAAGAAAATACAGAGAAAGAAAGAGGAAAAATCAGATTTACGTGCACAAAAAAACCCTTAATCTTCCTAACTAATACTTAAATAAACACTTAAATAAAAAAGACTTCCGACAAAACGAGTCTTCCAATCATTCCCATTGTACTGTTTATACTGTACAATATTAAATAATATAAAACTGTGTGTGGGAAACGACGACAGAAGGTTCCTTTTTTCATATGTCTTGTAGTAAGGTTAAAACATATTGGGAAACGATATATAATGAATTGAAAATGATGTTTAAAATAACATTTGTATAATAATAATAATATTAATAATAATACCAGAAGCTTTCCTTTTGGGATTTATAGGGACAGAGCTACCCAAACTGTATAGAAATTTTTTTCACGTATGCGACCACAGCGGCAATAATGTTACTTGCCCAAAAATGGAAAGAAGAAGTCCCAGCAAAGGAAGAATGGATACAAAAACTTATGCAGAAATAGCGAAACCTACCGGAAGAATAAGAAATCAAGATAACAAACTTTTTCATATAAAAGAATGAAAATGGTTTATTGAATATTTACAAATAAATTGCAAACAGATAAGAACATTGGCAGGCTTATGGGAATAACCCTCAGTTTTATAAGAGTATATATTTAAAGAAGACGAATAAGGGAGTAAATTTGGATTTGCAGAACATACTAAAAATAAATCTAAGGAACCGCAAAAAGAGGGGGAAGGAAGAGTCAAGTTTTGAAATGTTAAAATGATTATAAAATGATTGAAATGTATATAATTGAAAATCATTAAAAAGTCTTCGCTTCTCCAGGCTAAACCATAGCTGTCAACTCACAGATTTGAAAATAAGGGACCAGCAGCCTCGGAAATAAGGGATCAGCAGCCAAAATAAGGGATTTTCTGGCCACAGGTATGTTCAACTTCTGAGCCCCTCTGAGCCAAAGGCAGAAAGCCCAGCCAGCAGCCAAACGAAGCCTCAAGCGGTGGTTCCCACAGCGCAGCAACCCGGCAAAGGGGATGCAGCAAGGAAAACCACTGTCACCTCTCCGCTGGGAAGCGCTGAGCAAAGGCGAGTCCACAGGCAACGCAGCCGATTTGATCGGCACAAGGCATGCAAGCTCCACCCCCCAGTCGTTCTTAGACTCCTTATTGGGTGAGCAACACAGCCAAGCAACACAGTTGGAGCCTCCCTCCTCCCTGGCCGGCAGGGAGGGAGGGCGGGAGAGGAGCTGCTTCCTTTGAAACCCGGGAAATTTAAGGGACATCATCAATAAGGGACAGCAGTGGGACACGGCACTGGGATAAGGGACTTTCCTGCCAAATAAGGGACGGTTGACAGCAATGGGCTAAACCTACTTGACACCTTCAACCATTCCTCATCAGGCCCGGTTTCCAGGCCCTTGATCATCTTAGTTGCCCTCTTCTGCACACATTCCAGCTGGTCAGTAGCCTTTTTGAACAGTGGTGCTCAGAACTGGGCACAGGGCTCCAGGTGGGCTCTGACCAAGGCAGAATAGCAGAATTAATGGAACTACGTTTGCTGGCTTCCGGAAGCAATTTATAAACATTCCTGCTTACCCAGGCATTTGACAGCTGAAAGACAGCGCTCCTGGCAACCCTGAGAAACTATGCTCCTTTGGAATGCTTTTAAAAATTGTTTTATTATGCACTAGCACGGAGTGCCCAGCTCCGCCTGGGAATTTGTAGAAACCGAATAACGTCGTGACTTTTAAACGGAGAGCGTCATTTGTGAGTTCGGACCTGTCACGCCCAAAATCAGCTGAAGTCTTGCCACAGTCATGGTCTGGTTCACCATCTTGAAACAAAACACTGTTCACTTCCTAGACCTTTGGCGGCAAATCTCAAGAGATAGAAAGGTGGAAATGTATAGAAAGCCAATGGAAAAACAGACAGACAAACCATTTTCTAAAATATATAGCAGCCCATGTGTTTACTGTCCAGGGCTCCTTTGGGGGGAAAGTTAGGATGTACACTGAATTAGTAGCATTATTATTTTTATTTATTAAATTTTATACCACCATTCGCAGATCACAACATAAAAAGACAAAACAAGAACACAAAACACACAATAAAACCAAAACCAACCAGTAACTCCTCTCCCACAAATTCGTTTTAGAGGCTATTGGATGTTAATCAGTTGAAGGCCTGGTTGAAGAGAAATGCTTTTCCGGGCGCCTAAAAGATATGTAATGAAGCTGCTAGGTGAGGCTCCCTGGGGAGAGCATTCCACAGATGAGGAGCCACTGCAGAAAAGGCCCTGTTCTCGTGTTGCCGCCCTCCAG